CACATTATCAGGGTGGCGTCTCTGGTCGACCATTACTTCTTCAGAGGGTGGCTTACGGCGCGTCGACGACGAACGGGTATCGTGCAGTCGCATCTCAAAGTGTGTATTCGGGAGAACAACGAGGTCTGCCAGGAACAAGGCAGCGCTTCGCACGTGGAGGTGGTCAAGGAGCATGCTGGCTCGCTCCCCAGCGTTGACATTGACATTGACTCTGCAGGAACGTGGACGATTGCGCAAATCGTTGAGCTCCTGATCCATGAGATGGCCCACGGATATTTGATCTTGTTTACGTGTCGTGGGGGCTTTGATTACGTGGCCGGCTGCTCCTTTCACCATTCCGCTGCGAGAGGCCACCACGGTCTTTACCTGCGAAAGCTGCTGAGGCATGTGTATCAGACTATCCAGGAGTGGGACGATGTGTTGAGCAACTTTGGGACAGATTGTGTACTGAGCTGTCACTGCAATGATTCAGATTCTGCGTTTGAGAGAAGTAGATCAAGCACGCCAATCTAATCAAAACAGTTAGTTGAGACGGGAGAGACTGAAAGCTGGAAGAGTGTGTTCAAGATCTGTAGGTCCAATCAAGGCAGCAATTCTTTGGAAGAAAAAGATTAGTTCAGCATATGGTTACAGAATATTTTGTTCTCTCCAAGCCTGCTGTTCCATTCTCCTTATATCAATTTCGCCGAAAGTTAGAAAAAAAATAGATTAAAAACTCCGAAAGATGCGGGAGGTTGCTTTGAATGGGGATTCTTTTGCGTTCTGGAACGTGAAGACGAGTCAAACTCCCTGCTCCGTCGCCAATTGAGACTATATTTGAGATCCATGACTGACACCCTAATTTAGTATTATTATCTTGCTTCTTACCGTGTAATACGAGATCGGGTTGAGCCATTAAAAATCCAAAGCAGTGGAGAGAGGTGACCCTGGATTGGACCTTGGCCTCGGTTTCATCTCAGCAGTTGCAAGTTGTAGCTTGTTAGCCACCAAACATGTACTTAGCTTTTTTGCGCACCTGTATGAAAATTGAGGCAGCCAGCACTCATTGGATCCGTATAAAATTTACTCCGTCTTATCACAGCTTCTGAACTTTTCTAACCCAAGTTTTGACCTGCCTTATCCTCAAGGCCTTCTGTACAATGAATAGTGAACGAGATAGTGGCCATGACGCGTGAATTGCTACGACTTCCGAATGGGAGCACCACCGGACTTGAGCGATTTCAATGACACTATATAATCACCCAAATTGGAAGAAATCAATGGGAATCCAGGATGTCCTTGCTCGCCAGTGGAGCACCCCTTGGGACCCGCAAACGGTGCAAAGCCGCAAAGGCTTGGATCAGGCTTCGATGTAAGCTGGAGCTTTCTTTCGGCAAAATTCTGCCGGTTAGACCAATGTGGAGATGGATTCCACCAAGGGGTCGCACTGGTCGTAAATTTTGTAGGAGCCGTTGTCTAGTTTCCTACGGCCGCTGTTGCTGGTGTGTAAGTGAATCTAAAGATTGAGGCTCACCACCATGTCCCACTTGGCGGCGGCAACAAAGTCGAACTAAGCAGATCTCCAACACTAGGTTGTGCGAGTAGCCTTAGCGCAAGCGACGTAGAGCTAATGTTGTGTAACGTACGGGATGTCATCCTTCGTCGCCCCGTCGACATGAATGTAGTAGCGGTAGGTACTTATCAGTGACAAATGTTGGCCGAGGTAACCCGCTGACAACTAAGTTCCAGGCCGTCTTGCTGATATCAAGCCATCCGAAGCTACAGTTTCAAGCTTCAAGTTGTCTTGGAGAAAGTGATTTTATGGTATTATTACTATCAATATCTGTTGTGACTCATGGTCTGGTGGTATCCTGATGTGCCCAAACTCCCAATGCTACATTTACCCAAATTTCAGCCAGTCCCGGAAGAGATAACCCCAATTTGTTGATGGCGCCTTCCAGAATGCATTATTTCATAAAAATCGTAGGTTCCAAAAGTCCCATGTTGTTGTACATTGTTATACCATGTGCGCCGGGCTCGGCCGAATCACTTCTTCGCTGCGCTCCGTCTCCACCACGTAGTTACCAAAGCTGCCGGGCTTCTCGTTCGGAGAGTTTATCATGTATGTCTCGACCGCTTTGGGAGTGGGCGAGAGCGGCGCGTTGGACGCCGGGCTGCGGCTGTGTCGGTCGACCGTCGAGGGAACAGTCCTCGAAGTCCCCGTCCTGGTGACAAGCAGGCCCATGCGGGCTGCGAGGGCTTTGAGAGGAGGCAGGCAAAGGCATACCATTGCCGCCGAAAGCTCGCCGAGGGACCACATGGCGGGCTCCACGTTCCAGTAGGTGAAGTCTGAATTGATCTTCAGGAATTGGAGGCGCAAGACGGAAATGCCGACGATGCTAGAAGGAGAAAAAAAAAAGTCAGTCAGTCAAAATCGAGCATGACAGTATCGCAATAGCCGAAACACTTACAGGAATCCGAGGCTGAAGATGCCAAGCAGGTACAGCTTCTGAGTCCTCGGAAGTTTGAGCTGGATCAGCGCCGGCAGCGGCAGCAGGAAAATGAGAACGTCCGTCACGATACTGCAGGCCCCGAAGAGGTAGAATAGGACTTGCTGAGGAAGACACTTTGCCGGTACTGAGTGGTCCCAAAAGCCCTCAAGGGGAATACACCATATAAAGGAGATGATCACAACGCTAAGCCCCCAAGCCCCTACAAAGATCATGGCTGCGATGTAGTACTTCTTCATATAGTGGGTGACCAGTACGCGATAATACTGGAGCAAGAATGCCATCTTGAATGACAAGTGTCCCAGGCTGTAGAAGAGAACAGATACCCAAAAGCACTGAAGCGGTTGAATTTGTCAGAGCGGGTTTGATACGATTCTGGGGCAAGGCTGCTTACTTTCATGAACCCAGTCATTTCTTCTGGTGGAACCGTCTGTTGATGTTTCCCGAGACCATACCGCGTCACTGCCGCCGATTAGTCTGAAGTGTTCAACTCGCATATTGCAACTTGAAATGGGCCAAAAACTCACTCACTGCCTGCGAAAGACCGACGCCTAATACCGATATCTACCACAGTCAGCTTTTCCATCAACACACCACGAAGGCTTTGCCACGGTTTGCAACCTTTGGTTCGAACTTACCAACGAGAAAGCGGCAGCCCAGTCGTCGATACCAATTCTCTTGACAATGTGGAAGCGGGTCCAGAGTCGCAGGATCAGTATGCCCGTTGATATGAAGAGGCACATTGATATCACTCCCAGGACCAGGGGCGACTTATCCTCCTGCAACTGCTCGGGCGATAACTGTGGTAAAGGATCCATGTTGGGCGTATGGATGGAACGCGCGATCCGCGCTCAAAAAGAGCTTCTTGATATTTGATTTAAGGGCGTGTGTTTCTCTTTCTCTCTCTCTTTCTGTCTCTCTCTTCTCCTGTCTCTCCAAAGACTGGGTCTAGGGGTCCTCTCTCCCTTGGGTTGTGCGACGTGGAAGGGTGTGTAAGGCTCGCGGGGGGTTAGGGGGCTTGTGGGGGGACTAGCCATCCCTTATAAAGATAAAGATCAAAGACTCTCATCGAAGAAAGCCGGATCTTGACCCCAAAATGTCTCAAAGCACGGTTGGCAGCGAGGCAGTTCGATTCGCTTTCCTTGGCATTTGGGCTGAGAAAGAAACAATCACAAGACAGTGGCACCTACCTACATTCTTGGGCGGGCTGTAGCTGTAGCTGTAGCTGTAGCTGACGGCTGGCGGCTGTGGTCGACGATGGACGGTGGCTGCGAGAAGAGGTTGCGCCTTGGACGCATGCAGTCAATGGAGGCGCACGACAAAAGCAAGGGAAATTCCCATCCGTGCCACCCTTTTCTTTTCGATCGATGGGAACGAGTGAGAAGGGCAGCAGGCAACAAATCGGCTCTAGACGTAAGACTTTGGGTCAAGCAGTCATTGCTTCTTCTTCCCTCCTTCTCGCGCCGCAAGTGGTAAAGTGTCTCTCGCTTTCGGGAGGGCCTAGAGGCCTAGAGCTGGGACGGCGGCTGGATCATCCCCCCCCCCCCCAACATTCCAGAGGGTGCTGGCTTTTGGTGGCGTTAGTCTAGCTCACGGGAAACCGCGACACCGTTTTCAAAGATCAGCTCACCCAGGACAAAAGAATCCTCTTGGTTCGGGAGTATCACGAATAAGAGCCCGCTAGATCGAGCGCCTGAGATATTGGGGATCGAAACGCCGTTCCCCCGATCTTTCTCGTATAGTTTAGCACCCAAAAACAAGAACGCGGGAGGCCTTTTGCCGCGATGACCCTAAGTATCCGCGCCGACATTGCCCAAAGGGGAAGCACATGCGGATATTCATCGACTTGCACCTCGCCGAAGGTCGAACTCGAGAGCCGAAGTCCACGTGGCGTTGTCATCGTGTGGTTCGCATCTGGTAAAGTCTCGCCTCTCACCCGAAAGTCCGAGGTGGCCTACTTTATTCGTCGTGAAGAAGAGCCACAAATATCATCCCCCGTGATGATTATTCACCATCTTGGCCGTTTGCTGTGCAGAGCTGGAAGTTTCCGAGACATCCCTCAGGAGCAGATGTTCTGGAGTTCCCGTGGCTGTGGTATCACGAGGTGACGATGGTAGCTCAACCCTGGAAATGGAGCCATATTGTATATATAGGCCTAGAACGGCCTGAACATTCCTCCATCTTCTCTTCTTCTCGTTTTTCGTGTTTTTTTCTGCCCATTCATTCACTCATTGCACCCGCAGATTAGGATCTCTGATGCTACCTCGGGTCGTGAGTCAGGTTTGCATATGCTCGCCCGCATGTCGTTCAACAAACGAGACATTTTTCGGAGTGATGCAGGAAAAGGCAGGTTGGAGGCTCAAGGCAAGAAAAAAACAAAACAAGACTTTGTACAACCACACTCCCCATGCAGGGTTGCGGCACGGCCGAGGCCGTACCGTACGGATGTACGTGCGTGACAGTACGTGCGTGCGTGCGTGCGTGCGTGGGGTTCGGTTCGGTTGGTTTGGGATGGTTTGCATTGGATGGGATTGGATTAATGGGATGTTTCCTTCTTCTTCTTTCGTGCCACCGGCCGGCCAAGAGCTGCACGAAAGTCCTCAAACTGGGGAAAGATCTCCACTAAACAGTGATCTGAGCGGTTCGCTTCGCAAATCGCAACCCTCTCGCTGTTTCGCTTCTTATGCCACTCTGGTTGATCGGCCACCAATTTCTCTTTGTCATGCTCCGAGCGAACAAGAGGTGCCAAATCCAACCTCACACGCACTTTTGCAGGAGGGGAGGGGACCAAGAAATTGTGGGGCTTGCCGTTGGTGGTCGGATGTATGGCGCGGCTCGAGTTTTGACGCTGCAGTTGCATTTTTGCAATTCGTATCCGTAGAGCCTCAACACTTGGTAACACTCATTTCAATTGCATTAACACACCTTGCTCTCAAAATTCAATTGTCGCACTTCTTGACACGATGCGACACAATTTTGTAACTAGTTCCCCTATTCTTTGCGTCTTTTTCGTAGGAATTGCGACTCGTCAGAACTTGCATGCATACTCGAGTCGTGTCTCGCTGCCACTTGCTGATAATAAATAGCTCGAGCTTTTGGGTGGCTGGCTGGAGCAGAATCCTGTATGAACAGAAGAACGTATTCGTAGTTGGTCAGGACCATCACAACTCAAGTGTTGTTTGTGACGTTTTATGTGCGCGAGAATTCTCGCATGATCTGATGAGCAAAACCAAAGATATTCTGCCAACTCGCTCGCGGCTTGGTCGCCATGAGGTTGGCGAAGCAGATCAGTCTGTGTCTTTGAACAAGCTAGTTGGCGTTCAATTGTTGACTTCCATCAGTTCGAGCCCTCCTGCTCTGTAACGATCGCAAAGAGCGACTCAGAGAGAAAATATGAAAGATAACAATTACGAAAAATCCTGGGGACGAGAGACTCTCCGGACAATTCGGCTCCAAGAAGGCACCGTCGTTATCGGTTGACAATACTACTCCCGGACCAAACACGTCAATAATTCCGCACCTTCCGGAATATCAACCGAAAGTGACTTTGTAGACAAAAGGTGACTTTGGAGGCAAGTACATGATCGTCGCCAAAGAAACCATCTCCAACCGTCCAACGAAGCAGGGCCAAGTAGTAGCGGTGAAGAATTATCGTATGTGATTGCCACACCAACATGGGCCCCGACAAAGGGAGCAAAAACTCCAACATGGCTAACAGCACACATGTCCAGGCTATGGGGATGGGTTCATGCTGTTGGTTTTGGATGTGTGCGTTGGTGCAGGTTGGATGGCAAGCAAATATAGTTTCAGGTTGGACACGGAATACTGGACGGAATAGAAAGGTGGTGGTGGCGCGTGCCAAACTGTCGGTTCCCTCGGTTAAGCGGTACGTTATTTCGCAACTGCAAGACCGTCAGGGAGAGGGAGAGAGGAGAGTTTGGTTTGTCTTTCTTTGTAAGTTTCGGTCGCTTGGCCGACTTACCTAGGAAAGTTCACGTAGTACGGATATTACTCCGTAAATGTTGGAGTGAGAAAACCTGCATATAAAACCCCGGGCCCCCTGTCCTGTGTACCGTACCCTGCCCGGCTGCACTTTGCTTCTTAAGCGGAATTGCCGCAGGAAAGCTGCATGATGCGCGCGCTGCAGCGATGCAGTACCTAGACGAGCTGCTAATACTGTCCTTTTTGCGTTTCTGCAACGAACAAAATTCCCTCAGTACGTAATCCGCCGGTCAGCAGGTCGCAAATCATGCAGGGCCAGTTCTTCCGGTAACCCTTGCATCTTCGAGTCCTTGGACTCTGATGATTCCATCGATTCCATACAGATACCTGTCCAAAGAAACCAGTCTATTTGGTTGGCGATGCCTGCAGAATGGCCCCTCTCTCATTCTCCAACAAAGAAGGGACAGGCAGAGAGAGGAAACAGCCCCCCCCCCCCTTCCTTAGGCCCCCCAGAGTATCACTTATCATCGCACAGGATCCTGCATCACACTATTGGAGACCCAGCAGGAAACCTTCACAAGCTCGCAAATCATTCCTCGCATTTGAGCTGGCCCGCTCTCCAATCTTCATATTTTGCAAAAAAATCGAATCATTGGGGTCGCACGACATGGAGCCTGGGCGTGAAGTGGGCGGGGGGAGGGGGTTGATGTGATGTGATGCGATGGGTGTGTATTATGCTGGAGCTTCGGGAAACGCTCCAGTTTGACCCCGTTTCGTCCCGTTTCGTCCGAAATTCTTCAATACCACATGGCAAGCGTACCCGCGCATTCCGGACAGTGTTTGTGGGAAGGCGGCTCTTGGTATTTATATCACGACGGAACCGTACTTTTTTTCGTCTCGTGCGCGCGCATGTGTTTGCGGGAAGAAAGGGAACAAAACGGCCACAAGCAAAACAGAAGAAAGAAAAGAATCAAGTTCAAAGATCCTGCTAAAATGAAGCTAGAAGGAACTTTTGGGTATCCTCGTTACAACGCTAAGCCCTCCTTCCGTGGAATTCCCCTCCCATTACCCCTCAAACCATAAGCCTCCCTTCGGACATGGCTTGGCAGCATTCCAGGCTGGTCTACAACTCCTGCCTGCTACAAGTGAGGTCACTGAGGTGAGTGATAAGCACTTGACCATCCCATACCCGCCTGCTACCTTGCCTCTCTCGCCGGGATCCTACTCAAATCTGGATCAGAACCCCGAACATCGCCAGTATCGATGGCACGCACGCCACGCCAATTACTTGGTGTCGGTGGATCGCGTGGACGAGGTCGCCCGGCTGCTTCCCGTCTCCTTGAGGATCTGGGCCTCCTCTAGTGCCTCTCGCTTTGCAAACTCATCGAGAAGCTTGTGCGCTGTCTCAAGAGGTAACTCGGCTATCATGGCCGATAGGTTCTACGGAAACCGGGTCAGTCGATCGAGATCTCTTCATGCAAAGGTTTACGGCCGTAAGGGGGGCGAAGTAGGTGAGGCGAGCGTTACAGCGCCGGCCGGAGGCTTAGCCTGAAGGCCAAAATTCCAGAAGAACGGTACGGTGAGGTACTTACCGCGGGGAAGATGTCGGACGGATGATACTTAAATTCCTCCATCATGCGGTTCAAGCGAAGTACCTGCTTCCACGGAACAATGGTGTCTCCAATCAAAAAGGTAGGAAACCTTGCCATGGCGAGCTCTTCAAGGATCCAGCGACGTTGAAAGTAGGAACGGCCCATGAAGTCGTTGGCACCGGCCCAATGTGGCATCAGGAACGGAATCTCGCCGTCGGGACCAGGAGCCCATAGAGACGCAATGGGGACCGCCCACTTGTGAAATGGCGCGTAGTCTTCGGGGTGCTTTTCGCGGTCGCCGGGGTCGCCCCAGTGGGGCGGCATGGCGTCCTCGATCCGCGCGAGAGCGGCCATGGCCTCATCGGTGTCGTCCCTCTTGTCGCCCAGCCACCCGACGACAAGCTCCGCGTTGCGATAGATGTTACGCATGTCCGTGTGCTGCTTGGACTTTTCCACGTCGTCACGTTGGTTGACGCAGAGGAAGTCGCACCACACCCTCAAACACCTCGACTCCAAGTCACTCTGACGTGAGCTACCGAGACCGAAGAGCTGCCTAAGCCATCTCGGGGCGCCGTGAGGCCGCCTGGCCGGCGTCCTTTGGAAGCGCTGCGAGATAGTCGGATAGAAGACGGCGCGGACCTGCTTCAGTGCCTGAGCCAGATGAGCCGTGATAGTGACGGCATGGCCGCCCACGAAGATCTTTTCGGTCTCGGCCGCGTCGCCATAGAGTGACGAGAGGGCGATGTACTCGCGGGACAGCTCATCCGTCAGGCGAACTGTGACGAGCCGACACTCGACCGGATCGCTGAGGCTGCGCGCGGACTGAATTTCAAGCAGGCGGATCTCACGCCTCGAAGGGTCCAGACGCCGATATTGAATGCTCATCTTAACGGCAGCAATGCTCTGGTTCGGTTCGGCGGAGCGAGCGAGCGAGCGAGTGAGCGGGATCGGGCGAGAACTTGGCCAAGCAGGAGACAGCAACAAACAGTTGTCTCGATTGTTCACCCCTCACAGATTCTGTGTAAGGTACCGGTATCCGTATGTGCTTTTTTCCTGTCTCTGATGTGCCGATTCCTGTGCTCCAGATTCGGTCTCAGGTGAGGGCCTGTTGCTACCGGTATCTCCCTCTCTCTTCTTCTCCAGTTTCTGCAGGTTGAGCTGTAGGAGAGTGGAAAGGGTGGCAGGGCAGGGGTGGGTTTCCAACACTCAGTCTCACACTCAGTTTCCGAGAGTAAGGTAGGTATTACGAAGTATCCGTACGGGTCTGCTGCTGCTGCTCCTGCTGACAGGATTTGACTTGACTTGCGGCGTGTGAGTGTCTGGGTCGCACACCAACAATGCAACGGCAGGGCGAATCTGAAGCGCGTCCAGCGCAGAAGTGAGGACTCCGAACGGGACGCCGGCGTTTATACCAAGAAGGCGCAGATGCGGGCCCAGCGGCTTGGGCAGGGGATCTCTGGGGGCATCGATGCTGTCGGCTGTTCCCAATGCCATGCTCGGGTTGAGATTTTCATAGCACAGGGGTCCAGACTCCAGCCAGACATTCCAGCGAGACAGAGAGAAGCCGAAAAAGACGGGCACGGCGTGCCAATGGGGCGTAAAGGTCGACGAAGTTCGACGGGATACGGCTAGCTTCCCCCTCCTTCAGAAGGAGACGGGCTCACGCTATCCAGGGGTCGCAGGTGGGAAGGTTCAAGGTTCAAGGGGAAGAGGGAGGGGGTGTGTGTCGTAACTAAGTCTTGATGCGTGGTTGTGTGCTTGTGGACTGGTGGTGGTGGTGGAGCGTGGATGCGTGTGGTGGTCGCCATCAGAGACATTCGGGAACATTTCCAAGGAGAGCGGCACGGCACTCGTACTGGCAGCAGCGTGGCGAGCGGCTGGTCTATCGGTTCGGTCATTGCTTTGAATAGTGACACAATTTGACGAGATGGTGGACGGGGAACAATGAAGCTGGATGACAGATGCACCACGCAACCAGCACGCGAAGTTGAACTTTGTGGTGAGTTGAGCAAAGAGCACATACGTACTGTGCAGTAGACGGCAGCAAAAGGGAAAGAACCCTTGCTTGGCGTTGCTTGCCTGGTTCTGGCTTTGGCTGCCTGCTACGTACCCTATGACCCGGCATGGACCCGGTGGAGAAGGCGACGGCTGAAAACGGCCACTTCTCTGCTGCATTTGTGCAGAGACCCAACGTACCAAGAAGACCTTGTGGATTTCCCTTTTACCTGTGGAGGGCAACGGAACACTTTCGTCAGGACACGACACGCAGGCAAAGCCGCAAGTTCGCGTAACGTACGGAGTAAGCAAGGTGGTGGCAGGCTTGCACGCTTGGTAAGGTAGGACAACCAGACCCAGAACATCGAGTGGGCAGAAAAATAGGTCATGGACCATCCATGGTAATTCAAATGTTCGGCGATCTAAAAGCCAAAGCAAGGTTTTTCCAGGTTTCTCGCTCCGATGCCTCGACCATTCTGCAAACGCAATCTCCCTCCTCCGACTGAGACCCCCTCCGAATGGTGAATCTGCGCCCCCATCCGCCATCCGGCAATTCGCGTGTTCGTGCGCGTGTTCGTCTGATTCGAATGATTCCATACAACGGCCGCAACAGCCACATAGTCACCAAGTGAACAAGCAACTACGCCGTAACTGTCCACAGTTCCAGACCCGTACGGCTCACGGAACGCCGAAGCTGAGACGCAATGGAATGGAACACCTAGCGAAAGCGGCAGCCATCTTTGTGTGTATTGGAGCTTTACTGCTCTGGGTTTGGGAGAGTCTGTGAGTGCAGCGTGCCACCCCGCCCACCCCAGCACCAAGGCACGAAGCCACGGCATGGCTCCAAGGCATGGCCCGCAGCCACCTACTTGGTCCTTTACGGCTACCGCATTACGGCTCTGATGGGATGGATTTCATGGATGGATTACCTATGGGTAGCCTGTACGGATACTGTGTAAGGATAGGCAAGCTGTTCGTACTACGTACACAGTAGGGGAAGAGCCCCCCTTTTCCACTTGGCAACCGTTGGCGGGCACAATTGGACCCGTCCTGACAGTAAGGTAGAAGCACTCCGTACTGGGTTGAATGCTAGGTTTGTGTGCTGGGTACGGAGTGTATGGAGGAGCAATTTGGAGATGATCATGTCATGTTTGGGAAGCCAATGTTCGCACGACCCCAGATGACCCCCACTTCCTTCTTGCGACCTGCGTGCATGGGATGGCAGGTACGGAGTAACACAGGCCCTGACAGACGCTGACGGCTCTTGCGCTCTTGGGTGGGCTCCTCTTTTATCTTCTCTTTTTCTGGGACCCGTTCCTGCCGTCCCACCACCTCCTGACTCGGGGCTACCATGTTCCTTGCTGACTACAAACTCACGTGCGTCGTCATCGCCGCACCGCACGCCGCAACTTCGCAACTCCCCCTCCGAAAATATGCCATGCTTCCCGTCTTTGACACTGCCCTAAGCCACCTCTCTTGCGGTCTTACTACGCTGCACATATATCGTCAACCCGGGAATACATCCATTTTAGGCACACTTGGGGAAACCTGGCCGTCAACAGCTTCACATCCATGGTCCATGATGCGATCCGGGAGTTGATGCGGTTTCGGGATGATCTCACAATCAAACCCCCCTCCACGGAGTCGCCTACGGAGCACACTACCTCACCCACACAATCCCTTACATCCAGCACCATGACAGCACACCACTCTTGTGACCTCAAGTCTGGACTCTGTAGTGTAGTCTGTACCCGAGACTGCGTATCGGCACTCGACCTTAGTTCACTTGATATTTCCTGGCACCATGATCCATCGTCTACTGCGTGGTTGGTCTCCGTCACGGACCTTCCTCCGTCCACTCTCGCACAAACTTTGTACACCACCACCACCATCTTTCTCTTGCTGCATTGCATGGCCACGATCCTTGGGAATGCTTGCCCATTCTCCACTAACAACTTGTCAACCCGGTCCAGCCTGGGTAATGTCCTCCCTAGGGGCCCTGGCTAGACCGCGGTACCAATGCACATTGTAGCGTGTGTACACAAAAGTAGTGTACCTCCAACAACGAAGGACAAACCTGCACCGTTGTTGAACTAGCAACTGGGACTAAGCCCACTTTGCTCTTAACCCTCTCCACATGCCACACGAGCCAACGGCGAACCGTCAAACGGTTTGGTTTGACCTAGGGATGAGGGAGCGATGGCTGGCGATCGAGGTATCAAATCGCACCGCATTTTCTCTCACTTTGCCCTGATGCCACTATTCCTTACCTCTTCCAGATCGTTGCCTCGCTCACCACCTCACCATTGCCGCCGTAGCCAAACCTGGACCGCCGAATGCCTCCTCCTTCTCCTTCGCCCCGGCACCTCGCTCGAAATGGAAACCTCTCGATGCCCTGCCACCCACATGCCTTTCATCTCGACCTCCCTGTCCATGGGAACATCGCGAGCCCATGTTAGGAATAAAAAGCCCAGGTCTCCCCCGTCAAGAGGTTTCATGGATATGGTCATTAGCTTCTTGTCTGTGCTTCTTCTAGACTAAACTCTACCTACACCGACAATTCATATCCAGTATTAACCGCCCTTACTAACCCACCGCCCTTCCTCTAGAGCTCGCTCCTCTTGAGCTCTCACTTGTTGCCCTTAATGTCCACCTCGCCCAAGATTATGGTCAGCCCTCCCGGTCTCAGCCCTGGAGGAATCAACAGCGCCGCTGTTTCGGTTACCCAGCCGTGGCTCCGGATGCTCAGCTCCGTGTGGGGAATGTGCGCCCCGAAGCGAATCCGCCTCGAAGATGACCTGGCAAAGGAGCCCAAGCGGCTGGCTGCCCTCTGCAAGCCCATTTGCAAACAGATGCTCGAGGACCTCAAGTACCCCGGCGTCCCACGGGTCAAGCGCGAGTCCGTCGAAGCGCTGCTGAAATATATGCACAAGAGAGCCGTCGAGATCGGATGGCCACTCGATACCCCTCTGTCCCAGAAGGGGTTCCGCTTGGGCTTCTCACTAGCTGCGGTATGTATTCCACCTCCTTACCATTCATGCTACCCTAAAGCCACGTTTTGACGTTTGAATAATACCTCGTTTTTATTTTGGAAATTCTCCATGGATTAAAATGTGATTGTGATAAGTAGTGTGCTGACGGAACACCCGCAACAGATGTGCCATCCCCGTCACCCGATAGAAGTGCAGGGTTATGTTGGGCTCTTCACCTGGCTCGTCGTTCAGTACGACGACATCGTGGGCCAGAATGAAGGCGGCATGGACGAGGCCCAGCACTTCCAGCGGCGCTTCCTCAACGGCGAGACCCAGCCCAACGCCATGCTCGAAGGGCTGGCGGGCCTGCTGCGTCAGGCTCCCGACATTTTTGACCCCGTCATGGCCAGCCTGTTGCAAATCTCGGCTCTCAAATTCATGACTTGCAACCTGCTCGAGCGTCACGATGGCTTCCAGAACATGAAGACCACGCGGGGCGCCGGGATCAAGTTCCCCGACTTCCTGCGCGACCTGGCTGGCATAAATGTGGCGTACGCCGTCTTCTGCTTCCCCAAAGCCCAATACCCGGACGTGAGTCAATACCTGGAGGCCATTCCTGACATGGCCAGGGTGATCGACATTTCGAACGACGTTTTCTCGTAAGTCATTCCCCCCCCCCCCCCCGCCAATATCTATAACACACGGACACTTGTTAGTGTATATTTGCTTTTTCTTCATCCATCGACGTATGTCTGACCGCGTGCCTTTTTATCAGCTTCTACAAGGAGGAACTTGGCGGCGAGACCAGGAATTATATTCACAACCGCCGTATGGCAACCGGCAAGGATGTCTTCGCAGTCCTGGAAGACGTCGCCACCGACACGGTAGATGCCGCCAACAGAGCCTCCGCCATCCTCAAGGGGAGGGGCACGTACGAGCAGTCTATGCAGGAGTGCGCCCGAGGCTTCCACGCCATGCACACATCGAACCCACGGTACAAGATGGCTGATATGGACTTGGCCGAGGAGCATCCTCTGGCTCCGTACGAACATCTCATGGCGGAGATCTTTGGCGGTCATGAAAAGGTGAAGGCATGAAGCTTCGCAAGCTTTGCCCTTCTTCCCCTTTTGTGACTTACACAACCACACACACTGTTTACGATTTGATGTTATTGCGATTTGGAAGCAGCATGAGATACCTACTGGGAGGCATTCTGATTATTTATTGTTCGGTTTTGTTTTTATTTCTTTGGTGCGAAGGTTTGACTATCGACCTGCCTTGTCGTTGGTGTGGCTGTTTTGTTTTTATCGACTGCATGGATGAGCACGCTGAGCGACTGAACGTAGCATTTGCAATCTTAGGTTATCGGGTATCTGTAGTGCCGAGCGAGAAAGTTTTGTACTATTTACGAGAGAGAGCGAAAAAGAGCTTGTCCTTTTTCTTTTTCTTTTTTATGATTTTCAACAAATGTATCCGTACAACTCACAAACTCAATTAATGAACACTACACCTCCTCCATCTTGCTCAGGAAACTTTTGTCCATTGTGTGTTTGCTTTCTTGATCTGTACATAATTTCGTTAGTGCGCCTCTTATACGAGGATTAGTGTACTGTCGTAAGAAGGATTCGATCCCCTGAAAAAGACCACACAAACTTCCAGCTTTGGTGATCGACCACACCCCCCTTTTGCGGTTGCCCAAGCGAAAAACCCCCCCTCCCCTCCGAACCACTTGTCAGCCAGCTCCGGTTCGGTTTAGTTATGCGCTTTTGCAAGGGTCCTGGCCAATCATCCCAGAAAATTCACGAGTCGGATACCGGACTAAAGAGCGTGGCTTTCGCCAAGTCGACAAGGTTTCTTACTCTTTTTGCATTATCAAAAAAGGAGAAAAAATGGGTTAGTGTTGGGCATCACCAGATCAAAAAGAAAGAGGATTTTCCGGCAATTGGTATTTGATTCATGTGACTCGTCATTTTCCTTGCAAGGCTTCGTTCGATACGCGCGCCCATAATATATCACTCATCAAACGTCACCACTGGAGACCTGAAGCGCCCTTTTTGTTGTCTCCCTTCTCCAGGAAATTTTGGCGATGCTACCTGTATCATTATGCACATCATCGAAGAAAATCAAAAAGAGGAAAAGCCTCCCTTTTTTTAATCCAGGGTTTTGTCCGATGGACCGACAGAGTTTGCGGGAAGAGCCGCTCCCTCGCCACGGGACCCGGGGGTTGCGGAGCTCTCACTACCTTACCCCCTTTGGACCCAGCAAACTTATTGTGCAGGGTAATTAAGTATGATCATTTGGGAAAGGGGGGACCACCACGCATCCCACGTAATAGTTGTAACCCTCTGGAAACGACGGCACAACGTGACAAAACCCCATTCTCCCAGACTTATATGCATTTTTGATACGAGTACTCCGTACGGGATGCTCTTTTCGGACATGGCCATGTTCTGGAACAATTCTAGATCAGCAGTCCCAGTCATCCATGGAGCAAACTTCGAGTTTGGCGAATTAAAGGCACACCGATACTTGAATCAGGTGTGTTTGCTTGTAATCTTGCAAAATGTTGAGTTGCCGGGCCCCCGATAATTAACCCCCAGCTTGTTTGTTGAGTTGTGTAACCGGCATGGGGGGGCTTCCGAGGATCTTAATTAGTCTCGAAAACCGGTTACGTCAGAGGCCATTGCAAAGCTTTACTAGGTATGATTCTTTAAGTGGCTTGCTTTACTCTGAAGTCGTCTAAGTCCTTTCTTTGCCTATAAGTTTTGATCTGCTGACAAATTTCGAAGCCAATAAACTTCATGTAGAAGACAAAGCAGAGCGAAACGGCACTCCGTCTCAAACGGCATTGTGTTCAAAGAAAAGCCAAAGACTTGCTCTGGTCTCTTCTTGTCTGTTTCTTAGTTGTCCTGTTACTCCTGACCTTCTCTGCACTGCGCACCTCAGCTTGCTCGTCATAAGGAAATTTCTATCTACGAAGAAAACCAATTTACAAGGTGGTCTGAGCAGAGGTCTTCAAATCAGATGAGAATGTGAATGCACTAAGAAGCGGCATCTCGAGTGGGGACGAAGCCCAAGAGGACGAGTTTGAGAACCAGGATAGACTACTATATCACTTATGACACTTTCGAATTTCTTCCCAGAACAAAAACATGAAAGCCGAGTTGAGTGTGGTCTGGCGTACCGTTTGATGTCACAATCAAGCTTCAGACCTGGGCTCCTTCGAGGTCCCGAGTTCAAGGCCATGAAACTCTTCCCAATTTTTCTTTTCTCTTTTTGATGAACTAGAACGATGAAGAAGTCGGGCGTTATCTATTGCAGAATCCAATAGTCGCTACGATGTTATACAAAAGACGAGCACAATGACAACTTCGAGCCACTCCTTCATCAGCAACTCATCAGCAACTCACCAGCAACTCACCAGCAACTCATCGTCAACTCATCGTCAACTCATCAGATTTGTGACTCGTGTACCGTAAACACATAAGTAGACAACAGCAACTCGCAACTCAGCACCATGGAATATTCGATGCCAGTTGATCAGGGAACCCGAAACCCTGTCAGCGAAGAGTCCCAGAACATAGCTCCCCAGTATCAGCAGGTGGGAAAATGTCATCACCCTCCCTTCCCGAAGCCTTCTCACATTCTCTTACTTACGACTTCCCGGGATTTACCGCCTTACCGCCCTCTGTTCGTCGCGATGTATGCTGCGACACCTCTGTTGAACCTCACCTGCAAAAGCTTTTACTGGTGCAACCAGCTTCGACCGCAGCAAGAGGTGGCCCGATGTGAATTTGTCCAACTTTTCCTGGGCGCGCTGGCCGTATCTAAAGCCTGGTATGCTCTTACCAACGAGGAGCTCGAAGCATTCGAGCAAAGTCGATACTCGCGGATGGAAGTCGAGTCCTTGGCGCGTCAACTCGAAGACTCGTTGCACCAAATGATGGTTCGCCTTGACGATTTCTTCTTCTTTGGGGCTTTGACAAGATACCCCGACAAGCCAATTGGCACTAACATTCCCAGGTACTCGCACGTGGAGTTGTGCACAGGCTTTGGTCATTTGAGAGACGACTTTGGGCAAACCTGTTTTGCAGATACAGAACGTGTTTATGAGGCGGGCAGGTGGTTTGCCAAAATTCGACTCTTTTCCAAAATACGTTACGACGAGAATCTGACCAACAGGGTCAATCGCATTTCGTTTGAGAAGAACGTCGCGTCTCTGATTCATGAGATGGTACATGCCTACCTACAAATGTTTGTTTGTCGAAGTCCTCAATGTAACAGGAATCTACTAAACACGACAGGCCTGACTGGCCATGGTCCAACATTCATGAAGATGTTTGGATTGATCATGGAAACTGTTCGAACATGGCATCCTTCCCTCGAGTACGTGGGTCAAGATAGATGCGATGAGGGCACATGTTTTGACAGAGTCAATCACGACCATGAGCAAAGAGCTATTGAGGCCTATAAGAAGACAGGCAAACATAAGGGATATCTTCCTCTGAGATCGGACAGCCCCAAAACGCTCATCCGGATCGTCAAAGAAGACCTCCCCAATGGAGATTGCTTCTTCCACGTGGTTTATACTGACCCTCAACAGCGAATCGATCCAGACGCAGAGTACGTGGACGATGAGAACGATGGCGGTTATGACGACAGTGAGGAATATGAGGAGGATGAAGATGACGAGATGAATGATTTGTAGGAGGCCACAGATGGGTATGGCTCAGTCTGGCGTGGCAGTATTAGTGCGTTTGTAAACGGAGTTGGTAGGTGCGAACTTTGCATTCGGAAGGAAATGGAGGTTTCTGGTTTTTTGGGTTTGCTTTGATTCTTTGAAATTCAGATAGAGGAACTGCGTTGTTTTCTTCCGGTATGTTTCGGAGTGTTTCAAGATCATAGTTGCATTATTCCTTTATTCTGTCACCGCATGAATTCCCTTTTAGACCATGGACCTTTGGAGTCAGAGGTGGTGTTTCTTCTCCTTCTTTGATGCCGTCATTCGGCCTCCCTTAGCGGTTGTATTGTATTGACTCATAGTACCATTACTAAGGGCATCATTATCCCTTCTTCATTCGTGACAGGTCTTATCTATACATCTATACAGCGTAAACATCATTTCAATCCATCACTCTATCCAAGCCGGCATCCTCCCTATGCATCCGGCACGTACACGCCCTCCTTGCAGAGGACGACAATCTTCTTGAAGAACCGGCGCCATTCCAACGGGTCTCCCTTGATCTTCACGAACCGAATATCCAGCAGCTCCTGCTCCTCGGGCAGCTTGTGTTTGTCGACGTGAATCTCGCCATGCAGCGACTGTCGACGCGCGTCGAGCGTCTTGATCTTGATGATGATGATGTGGTCCGAGTACAGGTTCGGCGTGACGGGCGGCAGCGGGACGTTGAGCTGGTGCAGGGCGTCGCTGAGCATCTGCACGATGAGCTGGGGCGGCACGTGAGAGAAGAAGCGTGTGAGGGACTCGAATGGCACGATGTCGCGGAAGCGACGGGCCGCTTGGGTGAGTGTTAGAGGGACACCAGGGGTCTGCGAGAACTGGCTGATGGAAGGCTCCTCTGCGAGGGATTCCATGAACAAGCGCCGGTTAGCGACACCGCTCACACTTCGGGTCAGAGGTTGTGTGGAGGAGACGGCAATGGGGTTCATGACTTTGAGGGCAGGGCGCTCCCAATCCCACGCGACGTCGTTGATGGGTGTTTCAGGCTGGGTGAAGGAGACTTTGCCGGCACTATCGATATCCATGGGATCACTGCTGGACGGGTTGCCTTGGGAGGCTGTAGGTTGCTGGTTGAAATCGATCTTGAGACTTTCTAGCATCTGCGTGGCCAAGTTGATCGGGTCGGAAATCGTGCCGTCCGATGTCAAATGTGGGTTTTGCCTGGTATACCACGGGTGTTGTCGGATCTGTCGAAAAGAGAAGCGTTTGCTCGGGTCAATATTCATCATGCCTCGAAGCAGCGACAAGGTATCTGACGGTATCCTCCCCCAAAGCGCATCTGTGCTGCGGCCGTTCGTTCGCACGTACTCCTGGTACTCCCAACTACCTTTCGACGGCTCATCCCAGGGCGTGTTGCCAACCAAGAGTACGAAGAGAATAACCCCGCATGACCAGATGTCAACGAGATCTGGCGAGTACTTGATTGCGTCCGGGGATGCCTTCTTCTCTGCCTTGCCGCACGCGAGGATCTCAGGCGCGATGTATGGTGGACTCCCGCAAAGGGTGGAACTCGTCTTTCGTTGACCCTTATACTCGAACATGGTTGACATGCCAAAGTCAGCGAGCTTCAGACTTCCCGTCTCGGATAGCAGAATGTTTTCAGGCTTCAGATCTCGGTGCGCCACGCCCTTTGAGTGGATAAAGCTCACGCCGCTGATGAGCTGCAGAAAGTAGAGGTGAGCAATGTTCTCGTGAACGCCCACGTCTGCCTCAATCTTGTCGAAAAGGTCGCCTCCATCGGCAAACTCCATGGCAATCCATCGCCAATTGCTGTCCTCTCCCGAAGCGAACCACTCAATGATGTTCGGGTGCTGGCCGACATGTGAATGGAGTGACACCTCCATGAGGAGCTGCTTTGCCGACACGCGGCCATGCTTGACGGCGTAACCCTTGTGGATGAATTTGACAGCGAAGACGGGCGTGTTTGCGTCCAGAGGAACAGCTTTCTTGATTCTGGATGCCCACAGTCAGTGGCGGGGTTCATCGGACGTGAGGTTGAGGGGTAGAGTTCCTACGATGCATAAGCCCCTCGCCCAATAGTCTTTGAGATGACCCTGAAGGGCAAGTCGCTGGGCAGAGGGTCCAGCTGTGATTGCTGCATCTTTGCTGAGTGAGACGAGAAGTTCAGATGGTTTTGGGAGAGAGTCTGCGGCAGACTAATTCATGACTGAGACCGACCGAGCACAGGGGAAATGGAATGGCGAGTAGGGATATCGATTCACGGTGCTGTCAGGCAAACGATGCCAGGCAAAATGAAATGCATAGATGACGTATCAAGCTAGCGTAGGGCGAATTCCGCACAAAGGGTCCAAGGGTCCAGCGTCAACAAGAACTCACCATGTTGATTGAGGTGTATGTCTTGGGTCGTTTGTCCCCCCGCGGTGGCACTTTGGAGCGCGTCTTGACCGCGTAAAGAGCTTTTGGCGTGTTTTGTTTGGAGTCATGGAAGGTGTTTCATTGCCGCCTGCATCAACGCGAATTCATTGGCCGATAAGCCCTCTTATCGCGGTTGCTGCAGTGTTGGTCAGGTAAACAGTCCGCCGCCACTGCTCCAACACACCCCTCCAAAGAAGCAGGATCCCTGCCCTATAGTGTCGCCGCTTTTGTGGCCAAAACTAACCTCCCACCAAGACCAACAAGCTGTCAAGTCACCTTGGAAGGTGATCACTAGCACCTCAATGATAACAGGTCTAGAAAATGAATTGCGATCTGATTATTGCATTCGCCAATCTAAGGCCTAGAAACCCCTCAGTCTCTCTCCCCTTTCCATTTCCGCCAAGAAATCAAACTGCAAACAACTGGAGCCCCAAACTCTCGTACGAGAGTTCAGCAATCGGATGCTGCGGCTGGCCAATTTGCGCAAGTCAGTGAAACTGTTCTCTCTGCTCTTTGGAACACAATTTTCGCGTAATGAAAGAACAGCGCTCCTGCCTCTGCCTCAGTTGATCACTGAGCCGCATCATAAAGCCTCCCTTAGACTCGGTTACGTCGGCGGCGCAATTCCCTGCAGTATGTTAGAATAGTAACTATGTAAACATGTCATTGCACTTACTTGGCCGTCTTGTTGGTTAGCCCATAGTCACATCGACAGGCCCAACAAATCTTGAAACGGCATTTGGGGCAGGTATGGATGTGCTTGGTTTGCATCCTCTTGCAGACGTCACAGCGGTGACCTGCTTCATAAAGCGTTTCCCACAAATAGTGGTTATGGAATCCGACCAAGCAAACGTTCGGGTCTCGCTTGTACTGCTTTGCTGTGGCAACTTCTTTCTTCTCGGCTGCTTTCTTTGGCAGAGCGACCTGAATTCCGGTGGGGCTGGTCGTATTGTGAGTTGTCTGCACACCGGATTGAGTGTTGTTCAATGACGGGGTCGAGACGATGACCTGGTGTTCGGTTGAGGAGTTTGTGGTACTTAGAAGTCTTGATTAAGTTAGTTTATCACTGAACTTTCGCCAGTTACGTATAGGAAGGTGTGACTTACGCAGTTGCGCCATCTTCCTGAACACCGTGACGTGTACAAACACAGTCCTCCTGCAAGCAAAGATGTTTCATCTCCTCAATAGGTTCAGAATCGAACTCGATCAGATCTTCCTCAATAGGATCAGGATCGAACTCGATCAGATCTTCCTCAATAGGATCAGGATCGAACTCGATCAGATCTTCCTCAATAGGATCAGGACCGAGCTCGATCAGATCTTCCTCGTCCATCTTCTCAGATTGTCAGAAAAGCTGAAAATCAAACGATTAAGGACGATAGTGCGTAAAATAACACTAGACTTGTGAAGCTGAGGTGAGATAAGTTTGGAAGGTGTAGAAGTGGAAAAAAGAATTTAAGGGCAAGAAGGCCTGAGGAGAGATGGAAAAATAAAAAAAGGGAAGTGCAAAAGTGGGAAGGAGCGTGGCTTCCTTTACTGCCTTGTATAATGCTCTTTCTAAAGCACTTTATTCTGAAGTGAATATGCTGCAAAAGACAGGAAGTTCCACAGACTAGACTTATTTAACAAAGCCTATATTATGTGTGCTTCAGAACTCTCGCTTGACAGGTAAGCGTATTGCATACCTACGTAAAGCAGAAATGAACATTGGCATTAGACTCAGATTAAGTTCATCTCCTCAAAATGTGGTATATATACCAGCTTCGATATCACTTATACTTGAGCCTGCAGAGCAGATATGACTAGGGGTATTGTTGATCTTTGAACATGGTATCGATGCTTACGAGGACCGAAATTTGATGTCAAGGAAGGACATGAACACTAAGTACCTACTCAAGGAAGACGTTTTACTTATAGACACATAGTACAGGCTCTGTACTACAACTTTGCGGTTCAGGTGTTTCTAGTAGCTGATAATTGAATACATCATTTGCTATAACCTTGTGTTTGAGTGTACAATGCTTTCCTTTGGTTGGACACATTCATTGCTCAGCGGAAGAAACGTCCAGCTAGGTTTGTAGGATTGAAATAGCAAACGAGGTATCCCTCAAACTGCAGCACCATGGCCTTTGCCCAATTCACTAGGTATCACAAGGTGACCAGTGATTCCGTAAATCACAGACGGCCAATCGCGAAGTACATACTCAATTGAAAACGCATGTCCAATCCGCTCTTGGAGAACAGAAACCTTTCATAAGTCATGGTTGATCCGGAGGAAATTATTAACGCATTGAAAGTTGAATTTGTCGTAAAAAAAGGTGCGATCAAGGCTCGAATTAAGATGTAAGGCAAGGTCGTCGCTTCGTACTCGCCGCTGACTTTGGTAACGGCAGCGACGACGCTAGTCCAAAAGCGGGTGCCAAAGTCAGCGCGTCGCCCAGGTACCAGCGTCTCCGATTCCCCATCCCTGCCCTTCTCGCCCTACAGAACAATTGCCTTCTGTTGTTCTTGACGCTGCAAGCTTCCAACCTCTCCCCTTGACCATCTTCCCGCACATTGCATTTCCCTGCACATAAGTACTGGCTGGCCGGATATCACCTTGCCTTAGCAAACACCTACCTGCTTCATCCCAGTTCTCATCCCAGCCTCCCAGCCTCAAGACGCCCCCTTCGCCTCGACCAGTGCTCTTTGCGATTGCTTCTTTCCACCTCACGACATTTGCGACAATGGACTACAGCATGGAGGACACCCAGAACTCCGCTCCCGGAAGCGTTCCAGCAGCCAAGATTGCTGGCGCCAGGAAGGGACCTGATGCCCAGAGCGTCACCAAGAGGTATGAATATCTCGTTGCAAGACGTTGCCCTCTCATCTACGACCAGACGGACTAATTTCATGACTACAGATTGCAGACGGAATTGATGCAGCTAATGACTTCTCCCGCTCCCGGCGTCTCAGCATTCCCTTCGGCAGACGGCAACCTCATGTCGTGGACGGCGACGATTGAGGGACCCGAACAGACTCCCTACGCTGGCCTGACGCTCAAGCTCAGCTTGTCGTTCCCCAACAACTACCCCTACGCTGCGCCAACGGTGCTCTTCACGACGCCTATCTACCACCCTAACTTCGACTTCTCTGGCCGCATCTGCTTGGATATCCTCAAGGACAAGTGGACACCCGCCTATAACATTCAAACTGTACTCCTCAGTTTGCAGAGTCTGCTGGGCGAGCCAAACAAGTGAGTTGCCCCGGCAAAAAGTGGTTCGTTTGCCAATGCTAATATGGAGTCAGCGCTTCTCCTCTCAACGGCGAGGCCGCAGAGTTGTGGGACAAGGACCCCGAAGAGTTCAAGCGTAAGGTCCTCGCTCGTCACCGCGATGTTGAGGACGAGTGAGCGCGGGCTTGCTTGTGGATGACACGAGGATGAGAAAACATTGTTTCGAGCACTGGAGAATTGGAGTCTATCATGTATGATTACGGGCCGGTTGTTTTGGAACTCTTTTTGTTAGGAATTGGACTGCATTGCATGGTCGGGACTTGGCCTTCAGGATTGGGTATATCCTGTTCATCTGCTTCTGGCAGACCGCGACCAAGACGATAAAAAAAGAAGACCCTGTTGGACGATGTGTTACAAGAACCACAAGAGATTGATGATGTCCCAAAAAGCCTTCGTCATCGTTCACCATTGCCTGACACATACGCAACGCTTCCTTCGCGCGCACTTTGGCGCAGACAAAAAATAACATTCCACCACATCGCGGGGTCCAATACTAGTAAAAAGTCGTCGAAGTCGTGTGGGGAATCAAGCGTTGTTCACATTTCCGTCGATTTTGTATGTGAGACTAGAATGCCGAATGCAACTCCGATGCCTTTATGCCGCCCTGAAACCATCCCAAAGAGAACTTTTTACTCCTCAACGACAACAGTCTGGAGACCCTTGGGGTTCTTGACGTTGACGGCCTGGACGTAGCTGTACAGCTTCTCCTTGGCACCCTCCTCGTCGTTTCGTCTGCGGGAGATGCGGATGCGGAGTCTGTAGGGAACGCCCTTAATGCCCTGCTCCCAAACCTTCTTGTTCAGCTGGGGGTCAACGCGGACGTCGGAGGTACCCTATACGAATCACGAGGTTAGTGAGCATTCTTGTGGTGTCTATCTGTGTAGTGTGGTTCGATATGGGGCCGATTGGTGTTGTTGGGTCTTGGATGCAAAATTTCGGGATGGGTTCGAGAGGGACAAGCAAGACGTACCATGGCCTGGAGAGCGAAAGCCTTGATCTCCTTGATGGCACGGGGAGCGCGCTTCTTGAAGGAAACGCCGTGGAGCTACAGAGCAAAAATTGTCAGCATTGCTATGCTATGCTACCGGATCACCATCGTGGGCCATTGAATTCGCTGTCGACGGCGGCGTCCTTTTTTTTTTCTCTCCTCGGGGAAATACTAACGCGCTTGTGCATGTGGACGGTGTACTCGCGAGCGACGACATCAGCGATGGCGGAACGCTGCTTTCCGGCGGGCTTCTTCTGCTTGGTCGACATTTTGGCGGTACCTCTCGTTGGGCGGTTCGGTCGTCGGGATCGCGGAGTCGAATTGTCTAAGAAGTTGTCGATGTGATGGTTTTGCGTAGTCCGGCAGGTCATCCCACAAAATGTGAAGCGAGAAATTGCAAGCCCTACCTGCTTTTCCGTGGCTGAGGCGGGGCCTGTGCTTGTGGCTGGGTAGCTGAGGTAATGCGGCGTTTTCTTTCCACCTGTCCCTCTTTTCTCGAGATGGGGCACGTGACGTTGCTCAAGAAAGCGTCTGAGTGCCTGAGAAGCTAAGGCGCTGCAGTGAAGTGGACTCGTGTGTGGGTGGAACCACATTGACAGTGGGAAAGCGCGCTTTTTCGGAGGAAAGTACGTAGAGGTGGGTCGTATCCCCCCTGACCAGACAACCTGAACGAAATTAGTGTCTGGGTCTGAGTGCTTGCTTGATCTGCTGTTATGCCGTATCCCAACGGCATCCAAGACTCAAGCCATCACGCCTTGCAGCGCCATCGTCAATCACACTGACGCTGTCAGTTTGCGCCGTGCGCGATCCTTCCCTTCTTACGCTCGTTCAGTACACAAACCGACCTGGGGGAAGCCTAGCAACCGACGAGTAGACAGCCGCGCTACGACCGAACCTTTGCGGAGTGCACCTGCCAAACCTCATCTACGATATCCGTACCGCGCCTCTCCGACGACCAAACTTCGACTTCGCACCACCCGACGACAGCGACTCTGTCGGCCGCCGTTTCCTTCTCGTCCGACTTCTCTTCATCAATCACTACACAATTCCGATTTCGTTTCTCGATTCTTCTCGCGAATCCAACCCGCTCGATATCATGGAGGACCGATCAACTGGGGCCTCCGGCTCGCCATCTCCTCAGCCAGACCTGCACCGGAACCGATTGCCGACTCTGTTTGAGGTCTTGAGTCGTCGAACCCTGCCACCCGTCGACCTCTTCTCGTTCTACATTTTCATGAGAGATCAGCAAAAATCCGTCGATTATCTCGATTTCTGGTATTTGCAAATGGCTTCCCAGAATCACGCGTCTGTTCACTAACGAAGGATAGGCTCGATGTTGCTCAGCACATGTCCTTGTGCCGCCACTATGTGCGCGAACTCCGCAGATCCGTCCTAGTTGGAACACCTGACTTGGATAAGTCGGGCTCCAAGCGGTCTTCTCAGATCTTGGATGGACTTGGTGACATGAGCCATTCCGCCGCCGGCCCATCAATGTATGCCACTGAGAAGGAGAAGAACCAGGATGCACAGATGTCGGCCTACCTGAGAGAAGAGGCCCAAGACTCCCCTCAAAGCAGCACTGGAGAGCATCGCAGCCGTCCCAGTGGGGCTTTCAGCACTCCGCGCGACCTGACGACAGATTCCAACTCTCCCGCACACACCGTCGCGAGACAGGATATCCGGGCTTCGGCGGAGAAGATCCTCTACACCTTCCTCCTTCCGGGCGCAGAGCGTGAAATCATTCTTCCGGGCTCCATTACTCAGGACGTCACGACTTCCATTGAGGACTTTGGTAGAGACGATCCAGAGGTGTTTGACGTTGCCAAGGACTACGTCTTTCAGGCTATGGAACGCGATGCCTTCCCCAACTTCTTGAGAATGAAGGCCCTTGGCAACCTCATCCCGACCACTCTCCAGATCAGAATGATTGTTGGTCTTTTGGCCATGTTTGGTGGCTTCTGGGCTGCTTTTATTCTCATCTTCCTCAATGCCCCTCGAACTACCAGATGCTGGGTGAGTCTATGCATGATCTCATATCTGAATTTCGCCTGCTAACCTATCTTTCAGCTTATCCTTCCATTCACTGTTGGTGTCTATTTCCTCGCATCATACCAGTACTCTCTGGATCCTGTCCTCGCTCTCATCGGCCTCAGCGAGTACACGCCGTTCAACTTCTCTCGAATTCGTGAGCCCTACGTTCGTAAGCTCCTTGCTAAGCGGTCTATCATGGTCCTCGCCGTCACAATTTTAATCGACGCCGCGCTCTGTGTGCTTTTCATCCTTGTCCCCGGCAAACGGTTGTAAAATGCCTTGTTTTATCCTGGACAACAAACAAAGGATGTGTTGCAATACCCCAAACACAACAACAATGCGGCCTCAGTCTACATCACGGATGTAATAATATGGACGCTTTGTCTCCCAAAGAGAGAGCTTTTACGAACGTTACGACCCCAAAGATTTTGAGCGACAGAGTTTCCCAAATTTTCGGTTTTGATTCGGTCTTCCATTCAGGATACCAGAGAGGCACGGCGTAGGGACAGTCGAGGCCCCCAAGGGGACATAGCCTCGCACACGGCGTTCAACAAGGGACAGATTTAATTTCTTTTCAATGTACACAAGGCATTGGTGTATCATTATCGACATTGCGAGAATCGACACTGGAATCCTCGCCACCGATGGCAGGTAAAACTGCAAGGCAGCAGAGGAAGAGGCAGAGGAGAGGCGACAGGAGACTTTTGGCTTCGACACATTCATTCACTTTCTACATTCCCTTAAATTTTATCAATGGCACGCTAGATAGGCATCACAGAACAGGAAACGGCAGAGATTAATCTCTGTCAGTATTATCGAATTCGATCTTGACTGTATTTATTGAGTTCTCATAATGTATCGTGATAATGCCTGTGCTACTTTTCGGCTGTTTCCCCTTCAGCCATCATCTTATGCCACGTCCTGACCGTCTATCAAGCGCCACCGAGCCTCCAACGAGGTCCCTGGCCGATGGTCCCCCGAGTGTAACGCCGGGACAAGTGTCCCCGAGACGAGGCTGGAAGTACCCTCTACATCTCCAGCTTTCCCATCAACCAACTAATCCACTAAAGCTTCCGTCGGCTAGCACGCTTCTTCTCCTGCTCATCATCCTCCTCGTCCACGTCCATGGCCTCGTCGTCAATCTCCTCCGTATTGTCCATCATGCTGGTGCTACCCCGCTTGTTGTACCGCTGCGCCCTAGACGTGTGGCCCAAGAAGCCGCCTACCCTCTCCCCACTACTGCTGCCGCCGTGCTGTGCGTGACCGACAGCGAGCTTCCTGCCTCCCGCACCACCGGCGCCCCCCGTCTCGGGATCCTTCTTGACGTCCTCGACGAGCTTGGCCAGACGGGCGTCCTGCGCGGCCTTTTCGCGCTGGCGGCGGGCGGCGGCATCGCGGATGCCTGCGATCTGGGACTCGAGGTCGCCGAGGGTGGATTCGCAGCGGCTGGACCAGGCGCGGAGGGCGGCGATCATGGGCGGGACGGCTCCCGGGGCGAGGTCGCGGAGGGCGGCGAGGGAGTTCACCTGGACGACTTGGCGGTGAGGGTCGAGGGTTGCGTCGAGGAGGCCGGCGTAGATTGCGGAGATGACGAGGTCTTCCAGGGCGCGGGTGGAGGGGAGGTCGAGAGCGGACTGGAGGGCTGCGTAAGTCAGGTTCGAGCGGTCGCGGGCCAGGGTCAAGAGGGAGAGCTGGCGGAGTTTGAGGGTTTGGGCATCGTTGAGCTGGGGGAGGCCCGATGCCGAGGCAGATTGGTAGGTGGCGTAGGTGCCGTGGGAGAAGAGCTCGAGGAGGCGGAGGTGCGGTTCGAAGTCGGGGGACTGGGCGAGGGCTTGGATTTGAGGGGTCTCGAGGAGCTCTGTGAAGAGGAAGGTGTTTGGATTTGATGTTGCGCGGGTGACGAGGTCGGCTGCGGCGCGGGGGGATGTTGCTGACTTGCTCAGGGCCAGGAAGGGCTGTTGTTGGGAGGTTGTTAGCATTTGCGTCCGTAGATGAGCAGAATGTGTAGTTTTGTTTTGGGCGGCTTACCTCGAGAGCATTGAGAGCTTTGGTTTGCTCCATCGTGAGAGCTGCTCGTCTGTGATGTTCACGAAGCTCCGAGGTGGGGTACTACTGCTGTAGGAGTAGCTGTCGTCACTACCTGCAATAGCACAATGTGGGGTTGGGTTGACGAGGCTGAAGGTAGGTTGGTCCAACACGCTGGGGATCGGACGAGACGAGGCTGAGAAGGAAGGTCGCTTTCGGAGGATGCTACCGTACCTCTCTGTCGTGTCGTCAGAGGTTGGCAAATCGTAAGGGTGTGAGGAAGCGAAGGGGTTTGGTTCGTTTGTGGTGTGTTTCCTTTGGAGATCGTTCTGAGGACGAAGCTTGTGTCAGATTCGTTTGAGGTGCCCGTCCAGACAGGGCCGCTGCAAGAGCGAATGGGGACGCTGCCACAGAGGTCGGGTGCCTTAGTGGCGCGGGGCAAAGTGTGTTCGGGGGCACCTGGCAGGGTGCTGGTGGGGTCGACACATCTTACGGAGTAAGTCTAGGTAACTTACCTAACCTAACCTAACGTGTTAACCTCAGTAACCTTACCTAAGGCAAGCATTTTCGAGGCGCACCTTAAGTTGAGGCCGGATGGGGCATCCCGCACCAGCCGGGCCGCTGACGGGAATTGGAATGGAAGCTCTTCTGCATTCCCTCCAGTGGTCTCACTTCAGGTTGGACAAGAAAGGAGCGTGGCAGATAACTGGTCTCTTTGTCTCCATACTGTTGACCAGGAGCCATGGCGAGACTGGCCATGATCGTTTCCTCATGAATTGGTCTGAAGCCAAAACGGCTTCGAGAAGCAACCGTGGGAAGTTGGAGCCGGAGCTTGGCGATATGATCTTACAAGGAACTGGGTTTCTTTACGAAAATCTCCCGAAGATCAATTGGCATCCGCAGCCACATGCCATCATTCTTTCACTCTTGCTGCAATACTGTTGCATGCCATTTTACCTTCCATATTCGGGTGGTTTTGAAGGATATCGAATACATTGCAGATATGGATGATGGGTTATGCAGCTTACGTTGCAGCTTGGCACAGGTAGTAAGTCGAATCAGCGTCGTAACCCCTCTCTTCAGAAGCCTGCATCGTACGTTATCGATATCAGACTGGACTTTTTTCCCTCGTTGTTGACATCGGAATGTGTATCAAGGTTTGTTGCCGGCGGTCTGGAAAAAAGAAGTTGACAGAATTGTTTGGTCTGTCCGTCGGAAACTCAAAAATAAAGTCATGGTGGAAGTCGGGTCTTAAGAACGACAGACCGATACCGAGTACAATGTGAAATCGAAAGACACAGACTTGCGTACAGATTGAGTCTGACGAAGATCAGCCCATAGGAATAAAGATCAGAGCCACGAATCAATCATATGCCGCCGTCATCGCCGTTCAGTCTTGTTGATTTGCAATTCTCATGTGTTCAGTTCAAGAGACACGGAACACGGCTCTCAGGAGCATGAAGCATAGCGCCCACAATTCCCACTCCGAGACGCGCCGGATCTAAACCGTCCAATGGAGAGTTAGGATGGACTGGTTTCTGGCGAGCCAGTCACCCAGAATGCTAGGCTGGTCTGAGGCTGAAGCTCAATCCGAACCCAGGAGTCCCCTTGGACCCTAAAAAACTGCCTCAAGTGACCGTGCCCCCCGAATGTTTCGTTAGCCAAGCTCAGGACTCAGGTGCGTCGTCGTGTTCCGTTCCTCGCGCAGACGCTCCCTCGACCCCGGACGAGGAAAAGCGAGGGGTGTGTCTGTGTGTACCGATAGATACGAAGGTTGTAGTGAGCGACGGAGCGTGGCAATGAGTTCTGGCACCCATCAGCTCAGCTTACCCAAGTCCAGTCAGTTGAAGCCAGTCAGCCCAGTCAGTCTTACGTGCTGCCCCCGGGAAGTGCCATGAATAGTCTTCCTGTGGAAAATGCACAGCCGGACCTAGCCCTGACTCGATGTCTCACCGGTCAAGGAATGGTATCCATAGTCGTACACCTATCCGCAAAGAAGAGGTCTTCAAGTCCTCGTGGATGATGGGCAGTAAATGAACCTGTGAGCGATGTGACATCTGACAGACTGGTACTGCGTAGATGGGCGGTGCGCCAGACAAGGAGCGGATAGATATTGGTTGATCTGGACGAGTCGAGGTTAGTGCGAGGTTCTCGCGATCCCCCCACTGATCTCTTTTTGGCCCAGAAATAGACCAAGGGCGCAAAGTGGTCAAAAGGAGATGGAAGGAGAGAAGTGAGAGGGGGGCCCCGGGGCAGGTGTGGCGCCCGAGCACCGAAAGGTGCAGTGCCGGCTGGGATCACCCGTGCGAATCTCGTTGGTCACTTCGGCCACGCCCGTCGGTTCGTCGTCGACACAATTCTATCCGTACATGTGCCGTCCTTCTTTCCAGTGTACACAGAAACTCTTTCTCTTGTGCGTCTCGTTCTTCAAGATCGACTCGTGGCAATGATGCGAAGACTCGCGGCGCCGGGTGACGGTTTTGGTGTAGCCCATGAGGTAATCAGTGACCTTAGTCAGGGGCGAAGCTCGGGAGCAACATAAAAAAGAGACTCGGGGCTCAGGAGGCGTCACTGGAAAACAATTAACAGAAGCCAAGATCAGGATAAGAGCAGGGGCAAAGGTCATGTTGCTGGAGTCCTAACTGCAAAAAGCAATAGAAGAAACCCAACCGCACGAGCCCCCAAAACGAATGCAGCCGTTGTCGGTCTTGGAATATGAAATAAGGAATCTGGCAACACTAAACAGTTCTGTCATGGCTGGAATTGGCGCTGAGAGCGTTGCAGTTTTGCAGTTGGCGTCGCAATTGCGCCCAGGAGTTGTTCAATGTTCCGTTCCAAGTGTCCACACACACAGCACAGGCAGAGAGACACAGACACAGACAGTCAGACGCACCAGCAGCAGGAGCAGCAGTAGCAAGCGCACACCCCCTTCGGGCCATTGGGGCCACTTCCCTCCCACACACCCCGGTTGCCAGTCCCACGATTGCGCCAGATGATTACCTTAGATCCCGGCTACACCGCGCGCACCCACACGCCGCTGTTCCGTCTTCTTCTCCTGGCCCTGCAGCCCACCTACCTTACCTTACGGATACCTTGCCTTACCTTACTTTTGTTACAACTTACGAAGTACTCCCCCCCCCCCCCAGTCAAGCAGTGCTGATGCTGGTTTGTAACTTTGCTTCACTGGCCGCTGCTACTACCGCTGCATTGCATCCTGGTGTGGACATTCCCACACTCCTTCCACTCCC